AGATCCAAGACACAAGAAATGAAACTAAGTCTAAAATCATATTTAGAATATATCCTTAGGACTTAGACTCATATAAGGGTATATGGTAGATTGCATTGCATGAGCTCAAAGTTTTTCTCAAAGTAAACGTGTTTTTCAAATTGCATAATCATAACCTTTATATACTTGAAAGAAATTTGAAAGACCAATGGAAAAGATCCTTGAGATATTTTATAACTTTAAAATATATTTATCAAGTTGAGATCTTTAATAAAAAGTGGTTGGAAGCAAGATAGAACGCATTTGAACTTAAAATTTGCTACATAATTTGTTGTTGTCTTTCAGACAACTTTTCTTATCCAAAATGATAAATTTGGATCTGGTGTTCTACATAGAAGTTGTAGAAATCTCTTTTATCTTTCCAACGAGATCAAGATCACATCAATCTGACAAGAATAACTCGAGATATGCCCAAAATATGAAACAATATTCATGCTGTCAAATTTCCAACCTTTCAACAAGTTGGCAATCGATTACTTGCATATGGTAATCGATTACCAGTGCACCAAACCAGATATAATGGCTATAAACGGGTAATTTTGGGTAAAATCATTATATATACATTCCCCACGACCTTAAAATTGATTGATCATCATTCATACATATCTTAAGCATACTTTGAACGTTTCTACACTGTCATTTGTATATTCTTTTATATCTTTCAAAGATCAAACATATTTGAGCTTATATCTTGAAAATTAATATCCCATAGTGCTTTAAGTTGTATATCCACACTTTGAAAGTGTATATTTATCTCTAAATACTTTCTTCTTGTATTTTTGAGTTGAAAGGGCTGTGAGATCCATTGAGTTTGCAAGGTAGCCAAATACCTAGGAAAATTTGGATATATCTTGTATGTGTTAGCATAAATTCTATAATTGTGATATATTTGTTGAGATATATAGTCCCACATTAGTTGTATGTGCAACTAATGTGGAGTTTATAAGGCCTTGGACACTTCCACCCTTAGAGCTAGCTTTTGGGGTGGTGATCTCAAGGTTCTTAATATGGTATCAGAGCCTCGCTGCCCCCCACTTTCTCTTGTGGAATTTCTTTCTTCGCGCAGATAAGCTGGGCCTGTTGCATTATCCACGCTTCTAGCCCAATGGGCTCTCGTGTGTGGGGGCGTGTTGAGATATATAGTCCCACAGGCTTTGGGCACTCCCACCCTTTGAGCTAGCTTTTGGGGTGGTGTATCCCAAGATTCTTTACATGGTATCAGAGCCTCGCCGTCCCCCACTTTCTCTTGTGGCATTTCTTAGCACAGGTAGGCTGGGCCTGTTGCATTATCCACTCTTCAAGCCCAATGGGCTCTCGTGTGAGGGAGAGTGTTGAGATATATAGTCCCACATTGGTTGTATGTGCAACTAACATGGTATCAGAGCCTCGCCGCCCCCCACTTTCTCTTGTGGCGTTTCTTAGCACAGGTAAGCTGGGCCTGTTGCATTGTCCACTCTTCAAGCCCAATGGGCTCTTGTGTGAGGGGACGTGTTGAGATATATAGTCCAACATTGGTTGTATGTGCAACTAATGTGGAGTTTATAAGGTCTTGGGTACTCCCACCCTTTGAGCTAGCTTTTGGGGTGGTGTATCCCAAGGTTCTTTACAATATTATATATTATGGATTATTTGAATGCATTGATTAGCTTTTCATATATCAAAGTTTTCTTGAAATGATCATTTAAAAACTAGAATGAGGCTTTTGCAAAAATCTTATAATACTTAATTCACCCCCTCTTGAGTATGGAAGTCATATTCCTAACAAGACTTATTATTCTTACATCGGTGTATGATGATCCTACCCTTATATATATACATACATACACACACACACACACACACACACACACACACACACACATATATATACAAGATCAACTTCCACCGGTGTAAGAATAATAACTCTTACACCAGATTTTTACCATTGATTTTCGTATATCTAATGATTATAATTTATTAAAAATTATTTATTAAGTGTGATCCAATAAATCACAACCGTTAGATTCACAAAAATCAACGATTAAGATTTGGTATAAAACTTATACTGGTGTAAGTTACATACATATATATGGGATAACATTTCTGCATCTATGGCAAAAAAAAAAATCTATCACATAGAATAAATTAAGAATGAGTTCCTCATTTAATCAGTTTCTCTCTCCTTATAGGTTTCTCTCTCTTTACGGGAGAATAGTTTCTCCTATTACATGAAGAAGTCTATTCTCCTAGTAAGAGACATTGAAAATTGCAATACTTTTTTTTAAAGTGATGGGCCTGCATGGCTCTCTCTGCAGGAACGTGATCGATTTTCCAGTAACAAGAGAATTGATTACCGTATAATTTTGAATTAATGAAAGATGTTTCTATAATTTTAGGGGAATTAATTAATGGGGTTCCGGGAAAATTCATATAATAAAAAAATAAAAAAATTACTAAAACACATTTGTTAATTCAAAATGACATATTTTTTTTGGGGTCACTGAAGATAACCGGAGAAATACTTTATATATATATATATATATATATATTGGATCAAATTACACCTGTGTAGGAATAATAAATATTACATCAAATCTTAATCGTTAATTTTTGTATATCTGACAATTGTAATTTATTAAAAATTAATAATTAATTAATAAATATATATTTACGGTTAAAATTTGATATAATACTTATTATTCTTAGCGTTTCAGTCCCAACATAAAAAACAATGATTTGTATATGCACTTTAGGTTTGCTCGCTTGGAGACCCTTTTTGTAACGTTAGAGATCCTTTTTATAACTGCCTAGAACAATGGTGGTTACTCATAAAAAAATACTTTAAACGTTTTAAAACTTGATTAATGATTTTTAAAATAAAAATCAAACCATAAATGAAATTCGTAGGTAGTTTTTTTTTTCAAATCAAATCCTTACTGAAACGAGTTAATGATTTTTAAAATTAAACCATAACTAAAATCTTGAATGTTGAAAATCATGTCAACGTGAATCAATGGCATTGGAGCATATATGTTCCGAACGTCATAACGTGCAGCCAATGGGAGGGTGCCGAGTACTTCATGGACTGTTATGTTGACGTGGCATAATCAAAATGATACAAGACATAAAGGCAGTGGGATAGGCCCGACAAGGTTTAATGTTTTTTAGCATTTCCCTTTGAGATATGAGATAATGAGGTTTATGTACGTCTTTTTCGAGATGTATAGTATGAGGTTAAAATCAAACTTTTAAACAAAACTGAGCTTTCACTTTGATGATTTCTATATGACGGTCTTGAGGACATAAACGTATTCATCAAAGTAACTTCATTACTCTCCCCATGCCACTAGAACTTTTTTATTTATTTATTTTGGTTTCATTTTTTGTACTTTTGCATTTTTACTCCTTGTTCTTCCACATTTTGCTCTTTCTCACTCTCTTTTGAAATAGTTTATTATGCCATATGTTCTCTAATTAACTTCACCCTGTTAATCGTGACTCTATGCGATCAATTTTTGCTTGTTTTCTCTTGATAATCAGCGCATATTTTTTTATTTTTTGGAGAAACATATGCGCATATATGCAAGAGCAAATGTAATTAAGCTTTTGTTAAATTAATGTAAATTGTATAAGACTTCATTTTTTCTGCAGTTACTGCACATAAGTTATCTGCATTAAGTTCAATACGACGTCATTTTGGAGCGAAAATCATGATATTTTTGTAATTTTAATTTATTTCAGGATTATTATAATCTTTATAATTTTTTAATATTTCAATCCCAAAACGACGTCGTTTTGAAAATAAATACAGATAACTTATCTGCAGTAACTGCATAAATATTTTTCTAATTGTATATATATCTCCATTGCTTTTATCAAATTATGATGGCTTTCCCTCGCTGCATATATCTTCATATATACTCATTTTATTGCTAGTTCTTGTATCATATGGTTAATTATGTTTCAGAAATAGAAACAATTGAAAATGAAATTCACCTCATGTTCAAATCTGTTGATTAACCTATTGCAGTCACCAGCCATGCTAATATTTGAGCTTGTTTTGGGAGGTTTATTTAAAAAATTAATGTCTTGATCAGTATCATTTGAGGAAGGAAAAACTTTTTACACGCGCATAAACATTATTTTAGCTGGTTTTGATTTGAAATTAACCATTAATATATTACATTAGATTACAAAAGATTACCTTCATGCAGTGATGCGTGCTCCAGCATCTTCGGCATGACTCTTCGTGGGTATGTTACAAAGTTTCACCCGATTGCATACAAGTGATCACAACGGATGAAGAGCTCAAACGTAATCTAAATATTTTTATATCAATATAGCCTATTGTTTTTAAAGCTTACTTGGTTGACCTGCGAATAGGTAATGTTAAATTTGATTATCCAAATTGAATCAACCCCCTTTTGATTTTAGTTGGTTTCATTTAACATAGGTATAAAAAAATGAAAATTACCAAATAAAATCAATTAATTTTATTTAGTTTAATTTATTTTTCACAAAATTAAACTAGCTCAACCCAGTTACAGCCTACTAGCAGTCATGTTGTATTAAGTCAAATGCATCAAATTAAAACCAAACTAAGCATATATAAGGGGTGAATTAAGAATAGATTGATGAATTTATCAAAAAAAAAAAAGAAAGAAAGAAGAGATTGATGAAAATATCCGGCTAGAAGAAAGTTATATAGAAAAACAAGGGGTTACGAGTAATTTAAAAAGTTGCACAAGAGCGTAATATTAATGAATATTGATTAAGACCCAGCCAGATGAGTGGGTGTATAAAAAAACGGCAGTAGTAATTACTAAGAATATTTATATAATATGGGTTTAATATTTTTGCTTTGTAAAAAAAATTCTTTTGACACACTCACGTAAAAACAAATGGGTTAATTAATTTATTTTTAGTGATGTTAGCGATAGCCCACATAACTTTGTAATCACCAATGAGATTTTGAACTTCCACTGTCTCATGCTTCAACCCCTTCTTACCCCTTTCCACTATATATAAATCTCCAAGCACTCTTCTTCTCCCTCTCAAAACAACACAACACGTATCCTAACACCACTTCTACTAAATACACCTATTTAACAACTTCTCTCTCTTCTCATGACGAGCTTAGTCAGCTCAACAACTATGGCTATCACCATGGACATGGACATGGACATGGACCTTGACTTCTCCGGATACAGCACCATCACCAGCACCCCAACTTCCGACGATGACTACGGTTGCAACTGGAACCACTGGTCCCCCGTCGTCAACTGGGACGCCATCACCGGAGGCCAAGACGATTTCCACAACCTAATCGATTCCATGATGGACGTCGACGGAGTGACGCTCAGCCCCGATTACGGCGCCAGCAACTCCGTCTCCACCACCGAGGAGGACGAGGACGTCGAGGTGGAACCACCACCACAACCAGCAGCAGTCGCCGGCGACGATTTCAAGGGCCTGAGGCTCGTGCACCTCCTGATGGCCGCGGCGGAGGCTCTCACCGGCGCAAACAAGAGCCGCGACCTGGCTCGAGTGATATTGGTTCGGCTCAAGGAGTTGGTGTCCCAAGCCCACACCCACGGCACCAACATGGAGAGACTCGCGGCGTATTTCACGGACGCGCTACAGAGTCTGCTAGAAGGCGCAGGGGGTGCGCACAATAACCACCACCACCACAACAAACATTACCTCACGTGCGGGCCCCACCATCGCGACGAGCATCAACAAAACGACATGCTCGCAGCGTTCCAACTGCTTCAGGACGTGTCACCTTATGTCAAGTTCGGTCACTTCACCGCTAACCAGGCCATCCTTGAGGCCGTGGTCCACGAGCGTCGCGTCCACATCGTAGACTATGACATCATGGAAGGGGTCCAATGGGCCTCCCTTATACAGGCCCTCGCCTCAGACAAAAACGGCCCATCGGGCCCACATCTCCGCATCACCGCATTGTCGCGAACCGGCACCGGACGGAGATCCATCGCCACCGTGCAAGAGACCGGGCGCCGGTTGACGGCGTTCGCTGCCTCCTTGAACCAGCCGTTTTCGTTTCACCACTGCAGGTTGGACTCCGACGAAACGTTTCGTCCCTCCGCGCTGAAGCTTGTTCGAGGAGAGGCCTTGGTGTTCAACTGCATGCTGAACCTGCCGCACCTGAGCTACCGGTCGCCAGATTCGGTTGCGTCGTTCCTTGACGGAGCGAAGGCGTTGAGACCGAGGCTGGTGACGCTGGTGGAGGAGGAGATGGTGCCGGTTGTTGGTGGTGACGTGGGATTCGTGGTTCGGTTCATGGAGTCGCTCCACCATTACTCGGCGGTGTTTGATTCGTTGGAGGGTGGGTTTCCGATGCAGAGCCGGGCCAGGACATTGGTGGAGCGGGTGTTCCTTGGGCCCAGGATAGCGGGCTCGTTGGGCCGGATATACAGAACGGGTGGAGGGGAGGAGAGAGGGTCGTGGGGGGAGTGGTTGGGTGCGGCGGGGTTCAAGGGAGTTCCTATAAGCTTCGCGAATCAAAGTCAAGCGAGGCTGTTGATGGGTCTTTTCAACCATGGGTATGGGGTGGAGCAGTTGAATGCTAATAAATTGGTGTTGGATTGGAAATCAAAGCGTTTGCTTTCTGCCTCCCTTTGGACTTGTAGTTCTTCCCAATCGGATTTGTAGGTAGCTAAATTATTCTTATCATGTGCCCTCTCAAATTCGTTTAATTTCTTGACCCTCCAAAAAAGGAAACAAAGAAATGTTTTGGTTATTTTCCATTTATGGTAGTTTCAGTTTCAGGATCTTTGCTAACGAGAGTGTGACTAGTCCCCTAAGAGAAGAAGACCTGAGTCCTAATTGTCTTCTTTCTCACATCTGTGATTATTTTCTTGGTTCATGAAATGGCTGACCTTTATTAGATGTTAAATTACGTATACATATTAGTATGTTTTATGTTCACCGGCAATTTTATGTAAGTGAGCATCCAACTAATATATGGCCGAAATAAATATGGAAAAACTTTCTTTGTTTTAACTTTTAAGTAATCAATCTGATAAAACATAACGTAGTCGCCCTCACGCTATGAGAGTGTTTCAATGATGGAATGAGACTATGGTCGATTCTTAAGTAAATCTTGTATGAGAGAGGATATATTATTTCACTTTCGAAACGTATGGAGTTGACATTTTAGTGTCACTTATGACATGATCAGCGTATGTATGATTGTTCTAACTCCTTTTAATATTAAAAAATTTTAAACAAATCTATTGTGTTCTAAAAATGTGTTCAATATTAAATAGTAGAATTTGTATTACGAAAGCTAGGTTAAATGTTAATCTTCCTTTATATTCTAACATTATTCAGTAAAAGCAAAAGAAAGTAAATACCTATCCTCATAAGTAAGAAAAGGAAACGGTAGTCTACCAAAAAAAGAAAGAAAAAGGAAACGGTTATTGAAAAGAAAAAGAAAAGGAGAAAGAAATAAGACTAAATACTATTTTTGGTCCTCAACAAATTTTACGATGTCTGCTTTAGTCTCTAGCAAATAAAAAGGTCCATCGTGGTCTTTAAAAAATTTAAAATGGATCCATTTAGTTGAAATCGTGGTCCCTCCCAAATTTAAAAAAGACTCATATTAGTCCTCAAAAGAAAGACTAAAATGGGTCAATTTTGAATTTTTTAAAAACTACGATAGACCTTTTTATTTTTTAAGAACTAAAACGGGTATCGTAAAATTTGCTAGCACTAAAAAATATATTTGTTCAACAAACAATTAATAATCGTTCCATGTATAGTACACAAAATTTTGTGAAATCTTCAAACAATTAATAACCGGTCCATAGTACACTGCTTCTATTTTTGTTATTTATTGGGTAGTTAACCAGTTACACTGTAATTGCTTTTCAATTATTCTTTTTTTTTCACGTTCCCTAGGTTGGGCCTTACGATTAAGGATAGGGACGATCATAATATAGTTAAGAACATTTTAAAATTTTCCATTGTAAAATACGATGTGGTTTATGTTCTTGTATTCTTGTCTTTCTGAAAATCTATCGTACAACCACGCCATTAGAATTTGAATTATTCGCAGGTTGTTCCATAATCCTCTAAATGTTTATTATTTATTATCAATCCTGCAGGCACCTTGTGTTCATTCCTGTCTAAAAAGGTAGAATAAAATAAGCCGTTAGGATTTGTTTAATAATGAGGGATTTGGATAGTTTATTCAAATCTTAGTGTCACAATATATAAAAAAAAAAGTAGAATAAAATGAATTATATACATAAAAGTATATATTTTTTAAATTTAAGTAAATTAAGGGGAAGGTAATAAACGCATATTTACTTGTATACTTTGCATAAAAGCTCACTTTAAAGTAATTTTATCCTATTTTAAATTTATAACTGTTGCTTTTCTTCAACGTCTTGCTAGAAAGCGATTCAGAATCTAACAAAGATATAACATGAGAATTTTTTTTTGGTGGGCTAACATGAGAACTTTCTTTTGTCCAATTGCAAAGTCTTAACCAGAAAAAAAATAAATATATATATATATATATATATATATATATATATATATATATATATATATATATATATATATTTATTGTTCATTGGAAAAGTTCAAGGTGACCACTTACAAGATAAACTAATGCAATGCTTAATTCTTTTTTTTCTTTTCTCTATCCTATCTCTTTTCGTTTTGATTAGACCAATACAATATGAGGTGACCAATATATACTGGGTCTAGTCACACACGGTTGATGTGAGAAGACTTTGGGTTGGGTTATCTTTGAGGGATATGATTCTCCATTGGTGCGATGATCCAGACTGGAGGGTGTATCTGCAATGACACTCCGACGCTTCAAGTCAGTATCAAAGCCAAGTTTATGTGGTATTCTTACTGAATTAGATTATCATACCTGTGTATGTATCCTTTGTTTATATAGTGAATCTGATGCCGCCTTTGGTAGGAGGTATGCCTTCTGATTAGCGGCTTATGGGTTGCAGGTTCAGCTGGTGTCTTTCTGGCCTTATCTCTATTATGTCAGGCTATCTGGGTAGAGTGACGGCAAGCTGGAGCTGTCTTTCGTGTATTGATCCCATGACGTGGTGGCTCCTTGTTCGTATTTACTGATCACTTCCTTAACTCTGAAGTCATGTTTAAAGCGATTTGGGCGCGATGAAACCATTGCGGCCCCTGATTCTTTATGCGCGATACATATCGCGCATTGTTTTGGCCCTATGTGCTTGGGCCTTTAATCTTTTGGATTTCAGCCCTTGGTGGACCCATTGTATTTTATCCAGATCACGTTTCAATCAAGGAAATTCTTTTCCTTGTATCGTCTGATAGTCATAATATATCTGTGTGTGTGTGTGTGTGTGTGTGTGTGTATTGGGGGGGTGAGGGGGGAGGGGGGTGTTGCCTTGCTAACAGTTATGCAAGTATACGCGATAACAAGTAATAAAGGGCGTATTTGAGACCATACTATCGTTCCCACAAGGATCTTTGGCGTTTGTAACTTGACTAAAATTTGCAATTGCAAAAACTGAATCTAATCTAAAAAGTGAGTAAAAAATAAAAACAAAATAATCTCAAGACTAAGTTAGAATATTAGTGAAACTCTACTTTTTTTTATAATTTTTTGAATTTAAGAATTGATTTCATGAATTAAAGGGTGAAAATTAGAAGGAAAACAGATTTGGTAGCTGATGTGAAAAGATTTTTATGTAAATAAATTGCAAACAAAACTATGATTGAAACTCTAAAAAATCACAGAAAAAGAAATCTGAGTTGTTGAAAAATAGGTTGTAAAAACAGGTTGAGCTTCAGTTGCCTTCCCCAACAGCCACTGAATGAAGGTTGATTACAAATTACTGAAAATTAATTTCCAAGTAATGGATCATTTCTTATTGATTTTAATCTCTTAAAACCATTTTGTCCTAAACAAACATTTGCACATCTCTGTGCTAAATGAAGCAAAGATTCATATAGTTCCAGTCCAAAAATTACATGGAGGCTGTTCTCATCTCTGAGTAACAACCCTTGAATGCTCTCACACTCAAGTCCATGTGCTTAATACATGTCCGGACTTAGTCACCTCTCAATGACTAATTCCTAAAATAATATCTACCATCAGGCCTTAATAACAGAGTATTTAATTTCAAGCACAGTATTAAACAACTGGGAATCAAATTTCAACAAAAGCAATTAACCAACATCATTAACTGTGGTTCGGGTACCTACACCCAACCTTGAGAAAATTAGCTCATACCCATAAGGGTTGAGCTACAAACAACTGAAATTAAAATGTACATAAATTTAGAGTGAGAAAAAAAAAGTACAGCACCAGTCCTAATCACCGGAAAATGCTCAGTGTTGTACCAACATGCTTAAAGCCTAATAAAACTTCAGTACAGTACCAGAAATAAAAATAAAAATTCTGAAGCAGAAGACAAAAAAATAAAAATAACCAGCCAGCCCCACACTCACTATTTCTTCTCCTTTTATAGCTCTCCTCCTTTTGCATGCATGAGCTTTTGCCTTACACCTCAGCAGTCACCCATGCACTCTTCTAACCGTGTGATCTCCTTGCAAGGGTCATAATCGTAGACCAAAAAATTCCTTTAGCCCACACGTCTAACAAACTCCAGCTCATCCATTTAGTTAGAGGTAGTGTTTGGCAATTTATGTGTTCAGGAAATATGGCTAGGGTTAGATTGCTTCATTAAGGAACCGATGGTGAAGGCTAAGGTTATGTGGCTCTCAAAAACAAAGACCGGTGTGGCTTAGTGTATCGATTTGTTAAGAGGGATCAGGAAATGGAGGTGGGTTGGAAAATATGATAAGGGTTAGGGTTCGGTCACAAGGTGAGCGCTAGGGTTATGTGGTTCTCAACTTTTCTTTTACGCTTTGGGGTCTATTTCTTACTTCCTTTCTCTTTTTCCTTTTTCTTCTGTGGGCTTATGGTTTTTGCAAAGTGAAAGATCGGCCCACTTCTTTGTCCCTCATTTTCTTTGCTTTCTTTTTCCTTTGCTTTTTCTTTTCTTTTCTTTCTGGTTTCTCTTTGCTTGGGCTTCTGAGTTTCTCTTCAAAAATTCAGCCTAATTCTTGTCTTTTTTTTTCTTTGTGTTGACATTATCACAAATGGGCCTGGGAATTACAAGTACAAGCCCATCAGCTCTTAAATCAGAATAAATCAGCTCAATGCATTTGGGACTAACATTATACACAAAATATTCTTTTCATTTACAATTTTCATATAAAAACCCATGTTCTAAGTCATATTTTATGGACTTATAGGGGGGGAGAGAGCCTAAGAACCAGCTTTGCTTACGAAGACTAGGATTGTGTACTAGTGAATAGTGATAATTAATTGTCCATTGTAAACACAGATAACATTATATGTACACTGGAGATAGAGGTTAATTACTTAACAGGTGTATTATTTATAGTGGTTTGGCTAGGATAGGTCGTTCACGGCTTATCCAAAGCTTGGTCAGTAAACTGCAGGATGATATTAACAAAATTTAGCCAATCAAGAAGATAGAAATCCGAGGCAATTTGCACATACAGAAGTTTAATACTTATTAAAAATTTAAAATTAAGAAACAGAGTTTGGGCCAAACCCTTAAGTAAGATTTGGGCTGGAGCAGACAAATTATGAAACATTCAAATCAGGGGCGAAGACAGAGAGAGGTTAGGGTGGGTGGCTAAAAAATTAATGCAATTAAAGACTAAACGTTTACTGTTAAATATATTTATTCTGGGTATTCTGATTTGAGATCCAAGTTAAAATCTATATCCACTTCATTGTGTGTGTTATGTATAATCTTTTCTGCATTTTCTTTTTTATTTTCATATACTATGTTTTGGTTAATAAAAGCTTTGACTTTTTTGC